CGCTTGATCAATCAGATTGCAGGAAACTCTTTGCTCAGCTCTGAAATTATACTAAAGTGGAATATAATCATCTCACCAGAGGTGATTATAGTGGAATATGACGTCATTCTCGGCCAATAAGAGCACGAGAATTTCTATAATCACCTGAGTAATTATACTAACATGTGATAATGAAGTCTGATCATCCAGGTAAGTGTAGTCCAGAGAAGGACTGTTGTTGGTAGTATTGACTGATGTTTCGGCAACCTGAGAGGAAGTCACTATCAGAGTCAAGTGAAAAGCTGTTGTCAAGGGAACATACTAACTTTGGTTTGTGTAAACTGATTGATGAAGTTTGGCTGTGATGTTATTGGCTGTAAGACTCAAATGGTGTAAGTAGATCATGTCAATGAAAACTAAATTACTAGCAATGAAGGTTGATAGTCAAAGAAACTAAAAAGCTACAAAGAAGCTACTCTTCACTTAATGACAGCTATTTCCTATCATTGTGCTCTAGGGTCACTTACACAAAACTGACCAATCTAATTACCTTGTGGAGAAATCTTGTTGGAATACTTTTTTAACTTAGCAACATAAAAACCATCCATGTTGTGATTGTGAGGAAAAAATCTCCTGCTCATTTTTAAGGAAGGATGGAAATGTTTTCCCCTGAACCTAGGAAAGAAATTGGAGTAAGCATAAACTACTTGAGTTTACTTGTTTTTCTTGTGTCTGTGTTATGTAACTGATAATAAAAACTTGTGGTTAAGGCAAAGATGAAATGAAACAAGTTTAGTGTGGCCTGAATATAATCTACAAGCTAACAAGAACCCCTGCCAAAAGACCTCAGGAACTCAAGAGGATGTCACTGGGGTCTACTGCCTTGTAAATGTTTCTTTTTTAATCTTGTGTAGCAGTTACTAAAAGGGTAGCCTGTGAAGAGGCCCTGTGATGATGCAATGTTGAAGTAAATGTAACATCTAAATATGTCTCCATTTGTGCAAAGTTAATTCCTTTAGAAAAAAAAGTTTACTGTCAAATCTGGAAGAAAACTACTTACCAAAATTGCCTATTGACTTTTTGCAAAATTAAGAAAATAGAAGCTGTTGGTGAATAATGTATGATCTACTATGGATCACTAACTCTAAATTTCAACCAACTTTGACCTCATTCAAACCATCCAAAGTCTATTGCCACAGTCTTAAATTGACAATCCATTTCAAAGTTCAAAACCTGTTTTTACCAGGTGCACGAGTTAACATACAGCAAGTTCTGAGTTGGCACTCAAAATTTGTTTCGTGCGTCTCTCTTTGGTCTGCCCACATTGTGAGACAAATGACCAGCCCAGACTTCCTTCACATCATTATACCCAGGAGAAGAGAAAGCCAGCTGATATCATATAGAGTTTTCTATTATCTATTTTCAGTCTTAGTTCTAGAGAACTAGATTGTAAAAAGGAATAGCTCCACACCTGATAGGACAGTATTAATTTTAATAACTTAGGAGTAAGAATTTGAAGATGATTTTACTTAGGAAATCCTTCTTGGCCAAAGTCCAACCCAGTGGATACCAGTTTTACATGTCTTTTGCTGAGAGCATAATCAACAACTGCCTCATTTTCTTCCACCTGTTAAGAATGATAACTACTGTGAGTTGAAATAATTATCAATCCATACTGTTAAAAAAATTATTTATAATACTGGTACAACTATAATTGGTCAATGACTCACAGTTATCTAAAAACATAGAGCAAGGAAGCAAATCTCCCTGCTTCTTGATTCAATATGGAGAAATATACTGAGCAAAGAAATCGCTGAATAAAGCAAAAATTAAATTTTTTATTAAAGAAAAAAAACTATGAAGGTAGATAAATCACAGCAAGGAAATTTGATTAGCTGACATTTTGAGCATTAGCGCTTTCACCTTCGTGGTTCATCATGTTTATGACCTTCTAGTTGACAGTCAACAATGTTAAGGATCTCAGCACAAAACTCTCTTTGTACGCTACTGTCTAAATGAAACAAAGGCACAACTCAAGACAGCCTAATAAACCGACTGTTTAAAATTTCTGAGTTATTATACAGTGCAATGAATACTTACCAAAACAGAACAGGTGGAGTAAACAATATATCCACCACTTGATGACTTAGCATCTGTAGCATCAATAGCAGACAGAATGAGTTCTTTTTGAATATGAGAACACCGCTGAATATCTTTCTCGGTCTACATAACAAAACACAGAAAAAATTGTTAAAAAAACAGACTAAGAAAGTATTAACTAAAGTGAACTTTTTAAAACAAATGAAAAATTATTTTTTTAAGCATTTTTATCTTATCCAATTCTTTGATTCTTAGTTGACAACTTGTTTACTCTACAGGAACTTGACTTGACCAATCCGGTTAAAACACTTGTTATGAGTATACACCGCACAAGTGTATGGTGTTTTTTGCACAGGCTGATTTGCTTGCTCTCAAGTGATTATTTATCATGTTAAGTCTGAACCAAATTTTTTAGTATATTGATAAAACAGACAAATTTTTTGGTTTGTAATAAATAGATATCTGCTTCCACTTCTCGAATAATAGTTAATGCAACAAGATCAAATGGAAGGAAACAATTATAAAAAAAGCTGGTAAAGTAGTGAGAATCAGTTTATGTGAATTTCATGCATAAAATACTGTCATAAAGAATGACAAACCTTATTTATTTTAACAGACTGATCCTTCGATATGACTCCTGTTCCACTGCATGGAGCGTCAAGTAGAACACGGTCAAAACCTGCCATTACCTGAAAGAAAAGAATGTATAATCAAGAAATGTACAAACACTGTGGAAGGGGGTGGGGGAAGGGAGCCAAACCACACAGTTGCAGTACACATAATACATTACACAAAATTAACCCATACTAGATAATTCAGCATGTAGGGTAACTTCAGCCATTTGTGTGTCCTACTAATTGTAATTTACAATACCTATCAATCACCATTAATAGGAAAAATTATCAGTTATCCACTGGAACTTTATTTCCCTTATTTTGAGTTATATGTTTGGAAACTAGCACAAATTTTTAGAACTTTTGGCAAGAAATAAACGGGTTAATTCACAATGTAAGGATAAGGAGTGAAAAGTGAAAACTTTCAAAGCCAAAGTGATGGGTGTACAGCTACACCAGAGGAAGAGACACAGCTTACTCAGTTGAAAACACATGAAAGATATTATTATAATGAAATAAAAGAACACCTCTGCCACCCCCTCCCCCCCCCCAAAAAAAAATAGCATATCCAGAAAATAGTAACAACAATACAAAGAAGCATGCACCTAATTACTGGTTACTCAATTTTTATAGACTCCCTAAATCAACTCAGTAGTATATTTAAAACTGCATGCCTTACAGTGACTGTAGTTGAGACCAAAATACACCATTCAATAACAAAACAGATCCAACATGTAACCAACTTATCACCAAACAAGAATTTGATCTCATTTTCAAAAGGGTTTGGCATGTAGTATCAGTTATGATTTCATAAAATGAAGCAAAAAAAGTAAAATAAAAAACAAAATCTTGAGGCTTGAAAGTTTTGGAAAATCATATGGTACGTACCTTTGGAAATGCTCTACCATCATAATTACAAACCAAGGTGTTACTTATTCCTGAAAAAGAAACAAATTAATAGTCAGCACTAAAAAGTCTTACAAAGAAATGAATTTAAAATAAATGTGTTTTGTACAGCAAGTTATAACTATTAAGTAGTAATGTGACATGAAGTTACTCTGAAAAAGGATCACAAAGGAGATGATCACAATTCCTTTCCAAAAAATATTTGTAAGCTTCTGTTCCTTTGTGTGTGGATGAAATGAAATCTCAGTTATTCATAATTATTAGCTTTGCATCTTAAAATGGTTACTTCTCAAGTTTTGAGGCACTAAGCTCTCTTTTTTCCAAATGTATTTATAAATAAATTGTTCTAGCCTACTACAGTCAGTTAAGGTTGTTAAATATTTTTAATAAGCACTTTGAAAGCTGAAAAAGGGTCATCCTTTATTGGGAAATACTAGTCTTGTAATTATTTCCATTTGGTGGAACTCAAGTTGGGGTTCTCAGACAAAAAAACAGAGGGAGGGGGTTTGGAAGCTAAGGAAAACTGAATAATTTTTCATATTCTTGGTCCCACATGTGTTTATGGTTAAGGCAAAGCACTGTGTCCAGACCTAATTACAAACTCACCTAATCTATGAATATTAGCTACTAAAGCTTTTGTTCTCTCCTTTTTAGCATCATTTGCAACCACCAGTCCAGTGTTCTTTAGGAGTGAAGCTGAAAGAATTAAAAGTAAAATTGAAAAAGAAAGAGAGAAAGAGAAAATTAAATTTTCAGCATTGATTTTAGTGATGTTAATAAATAATTAGTTACTGTTAGTAATAAGACAAAGTTTATCTCTAGGTGACTTCAACATAGCAGCATTTACCTATGTAAGTAGCTTTGCCACCAGGAGCTGCACACATGTCCAATATCCTTTCTTTCTCTTGAGGAGCCAAGGCCATAACTGGGAGCATTGATGATGCCCCTTGCAACATATAGTGCCCTGCTAGATATTCCGGAGTTGCTCCTATTCAAAAGATGTTTTTATAATCAAAAGGTTACATGCACAAAATGTATTAAGTATAAAAAATTGTATGCTGTGATTTCGACTTTTGAAAAAAATCAAAATTTGAAACTGTAGATTTAAAGACACTGCAATTCACTCCAATCCAATACTCCTCAATCATTAACATGAAATGATGTTGAAGGTGGATTATTTAAATAAATTTTTTATTGACCAATTTTATAGGCATGGAGTCTTGAGAATGAGTTGTGTTTCAAAGTTATAACCCGACGTTCTCAATGAACAATTGGGATATGCACTATTTTCCTTCCTACATTAAAGGGGGGTTGCAAAGATCTAATTAATAATTACAATGATACTAAAAGTTTTGCAACTAGCTCACTTAAAGGTTTCTCTCAAAAAAAATTAAGTATAAAATTTCCTAACTTTATATTTAAAATAAGCATTAATTTTGATCTCATACTAAAATTAAATGTCTCTCTTTTTTAGTCCTTACCAATTGGTACAGAAGAGTCATAGACAACAAGTCCAACTTTAGACCATTTACCAATTGGGTCCAAATTTACCCCACGGTTTATGAGGGCCTAAAGGGATAAACAAATCAAAAGTGATAGCTATATTGTATTAATTGTCGTGCTGCATCTAATGTTCAAACAATTGTCATGATCAATAATCATTATGGTCATTGAACTGGGTGCAGTGCAGTGCGGTGCGACCTAATTTGAAATCACAAGGATGATGCAGACCAGAACTGCTCAACAAAAAGTTCAATTACCACTTTATTACTGAACATCCATTTTGAAATCCCAAAATCTAATTGATCAAATGCAGGTTTTAATTCAGTACAAATATTGAACAATATTGAGCTGGTTTTTAAAAAAAGTAGAACTAGAAATAAGTTTACTCATTTTTTCGGAAAACAAGAAAAATGTTGGTGGAAAAAGTTGCAAATTTGCCACACCATTAATGGCCCCTTTTGTTTCATTTCTTTCAGTTCTATTCATTTGGTATTTTTGAAAAATTCCTTGAAATCTTATTCAATTTGGTTGTTTTGTATCAGTGTTGCTTTCTCATTGACTTGAAAAAAGTTGTGATTTAAAGGAAAAAAATGGTACAATTCATGTATAAATCCCAGTGCTGAAAGCCTATCAAACTGCAAGGATCACCTATAATTTCAAAATGGATGACATAACAGGCCTGAGTATTTTACTCAAGTGTAACTCAAATGTTGCAACATACTGTATTTTGATCTTCTTCCATAAACAATCTGATCTTCCAGTTGCACTTAAAATACATATAGATGTCTTTCAGTCAACTGTAAAAATCTACCACTGAAACTGTTCACTAATTGACAAACCTGTGCAAGATCTCTTCTCCTTGACTTCAATGTATTTGTTCTAATAGTGATAGGCCTCTGAACTTCATTTGCCTCAAGGAATTCTACCAACTTAGAAGGAATTAACAAAACTAAAACCTGAAGGGCTTTTAGCAAATCTCAGTCCTGAACTTTTTAAACTATTTTATGTGATTTATTGAACATCCCAACTATTTGCCTGACCACATGATCAATAACAGGCTTTTGGGTTGGGTGTCCTCCTTCTGTCACAGCTTACCTCTGTCATCAGTCTGTTCAGGCTTTGTTCCCAGTACTACTTTACCTCAATAGTCATTTGCTCCAGCTGATCACATGAAATCACATTGGCTAACTTACCACAAGAGAAATTCTCACATGCCGCAAAGTAGGGCAATGAAGCTGAGTACAATGAACATTTAGTATTCAATTAGAGGCTACAGTTATTGGTAATCTCCCTGTACACAATTGTGTAGTTTATCACTTATTATAAATCATTAACAAATATACACCACCATGGTTAGATGCAATTAAAAGTTGTAGATTACCTCATTTATTGGGAAAAGGTCCATAAATTTCTCCATCAGAAATTTTCCATAACTATAGTAATTACAAAGGTCACTTAAAAGCAGTTCCACATATTCCTGGCGTGACCTGTAGACAGTAAAAGTACATTTAAGCCCAACACTGGATGATAAGTAATTGAAAACTTACATTTTCGCTATGGTCAATTAACTTGGTTCTACTGCTTTTAAAGCTCTTTTCTATTTGCATCAGCATTCAGATACAAAAGCCAGGAAATGGCAGAGGACATGACATCCTAATGAACAGCCTTCTTTAATTCATTCAGGAATTGATGAAATCTTCACCCATTACCTGCCAGGTTCGCGTGCAGTATTAAAGTTGTTGAGTGCTTGTATATTATCCCTGATTCTTTGATTAATCAAAGCTAAATCTGTATGTTCATTAGCTGTTACAAAGAAGAAAAAATTGAATGTATCATACATTAATTATATCATACTATCAATATACTTGAGCTCTTGAAAATATCTCAGGAATGACATTCATTTGTCTATTCTAGAATGACCAACCAAGTAAGAGATTAAAAAACAAAGGTAAACTTCAACATAATAACAGTCTTAGACTAGTGTTTTTCATTCTGATCTCATCTTTTCAAATGAAAACCTTTTGAGAAGATTCTCTTTGTTCACCTTTTTCAGAGTTTCAGAGAAATTAAAAGAACATTTTGATAAAAAAAGATCATTTGACTGCACTCTCCTTCTGCATGTTGTATATCATTATACTACTAGTCAAGAACACTTGATTTCTTTGGATGTGCCTTAAATTGTTTCTTGAAAAAGAATCAGGATATTAAGAGAATCTATCAGTGGTATCTTTGTCACTTACTAAATGTGATGGTTTCATTTTTTGCATCTTGAACTTTGATAATTTTTATTTCCTTTCATATTTTTAAGATCAACCTTCACTAAATTTAGAATAAAGACTTGCTATTATTGAAAGTGATGCAGGCACTGTATTGGAGTAAGCAATAATGGTACAAAGTAAAAGGTAGATTGACTGTGATCAGAAATGCCAGTGTTTTACACCAAGTAATGATATAATGATTGTGGTTTTGGATAACAAAAAGAATTCACTCCAATTTTTCAGATAACCATTTTTAAAATGAATCCACTCTTGCATTGAACATTTTATTTGTAGTAATCACTGAAGAGTAAATTGTAGTAAAGAACTAGTTTATACTTTCTTTCTCTATTTCCTGTCCACTTGGCAGCACAAACACTTCAGTTTCAGCAATGTTAGTTTTTAGCTCTTCTTCAGCTAAAGCCCTTATGGTAAAATGATAATCATGTCACCTCGAGTTATTGCCAATACAAAAGGAGTTGAACTCAAAGAATTATTATAAGCAGAAAAAGAATAACTAGGTTTGATATTTGGGAGTTCAAATAAATGCTAGATATACTGAAAATAAACTACAGCCTGATTTGAGCTACTTGATTTGGCAGTTTTCATCACCATTGATGCTAACATATGGGAGAATCATATTGAGTTTGTTTGTTGGGTCCCTGCTAAGTGTTCTTGTGACAGACAATTTACTTTGAGAAGTGGACAGTTAACATTGGCCACTAGTTTTTTTTATCAAAACCTCTGAGCTACATGTAAATACACATACTTGTCTTTGGCTTTCTTCTTGTCTAGCTTTTTAGCTTTTCTCTCAATGGGTAACATCTAAAGAAATTGGACAGCTTATTTGTATTTATGGTAAACTTTGTTAATAGAACCTCTGCACAACCTACAAATTAAGACTTAATGAATTATTGGTATGGGTCATAGAGCAGGATTTTATAATATCATAAGAAATAAAAGCTTTGGCTTGATGTGGAATTACTAGTCCCTTGTAATATTGGCTAGAAATCTCTTTTTTCTCAGTTGGCATGAGGATTGGAATATTTCATCAATTACAAAACATATAGCCAGGTTAAGCATAGTTAATAATGGTGTTTTCACAACAAAATAAAAAGTTCTTATCATGATCTTTTCATGTCCACCTCCTCCTCCTCCTCCTCCTCCTCATCATCATCATCATCATCTTCCTCCTCATCATTATCATCATCATCATCCCTTTTGTCGTCTTTGTCATCATCATCATTGTCAGTATTACTGTTGTCACTGTTTTGTCTGCTAATGCTGTAATCATCACTGATAAAGTTATCGTCTGGCTAAAGGAGGACATAATTATGCTCAACAATAATAACAAAACATAATTTCAAATTATAGGAATGGTGCACTTGTTCACTGGGGTGTGGCACAGTCTCAATATTGAATTTGTTCACTATCTGCTCTTATGGTACCATGTGTCCCCCCTCAACCCTTAGTGTTCCCCATGGTCTCACATTGAGAGTCTTTGTTCTTTTAACCTCTACATCTAGTCCAGCACCAATATCAAAATTGTGTTTCAGTGCAGATCTTTTACTTTCTTCACATAAATCAAAGAGAAAGAAAGAAAACTGTTACATAAAGGTCTGACACCACAGCTAAATTGCAAACAATCACAGCACTATCATTTAGTCCATAAAGCATTTGGTTACCATGTAATCATCCTCGGCATCGCTGTCTTCCCCATCCTTCTTGGCAAGTTTTAGCCAGCTGGCATTGCTATCACTAAAAGCTCTGAACAATTATAACTAAAAGTAAGTTATAATTCTCAACAAAGATAATATTCATTCAGTACAATTTACAAGCATGTTAATTGATTGAAAACAACAACAACAACAAATTAATCAAAGTCATAATTAATGGCTCAGTTTCTTACTTGGACTTGATCTTTAACTTAACCAATTCTTCATCTGAAAATGATAACGGATATTGCTTAAAAACAGGGTGAATAGGGATTAAATTGGTTGTAACTTGGAGCACTGCTTATAATGATCTTCTAAGCCTGTTTTCTATTTTCAACCTACTACCCCAGGCAATTATATTAAAAGGCATTAGTTACAAACACACCACTTGATTCTTGAGCTTCCTGTATCTCTTCAGCATCAGTTAAGGATCTTTTCATCCTATCAAAAAATACAAATTATCACTAATATTTATCTCTTATAATGTAGATCAAAACACAGACAAACCTTTTGTGACAAGACATTTATGCTTCTTTGTCCATGTACTTAATCACAACAAGAAACCATGACTGCTTTGAACAATATTACCAGACAGGTCTGTTTTAAGGAGGTTCAAGGAACAACGAAAAAGTGTGGAAGCTACAATCAATCAAATAATTTGCATTTGGAATCAAAGGCTCTGTGTGCCAACTCGTGAATTGGATAAGCCCATGTAATTTGTGTCGTCAATAGAAATGGGTGTTTGATTTCCATACTAAGGTATGAATCGTTAGACTGGTAAATGAGCATTATGAGGAATATGATGTGAAACTAAATTAGGCCTCAAAGACAGAAAATATGGCCTGATTAGGATTTGGTGCAAGACAGTCACTGTTCCAGATTTTACAGTAAAGGTTTGTGGAATGAAAGTTCAAAAGGGTGCTGTTTTGTTTATCATAAAACTATTGTTCCAATATTGAGCTCAGTATTTACTTGCGATGCAAGCATAGGGATAGGCATGTAAAAGCTTATACGCTGGATGGAACGCACGGACATAAGGATAAGCATATATGCATAAGATTATCAAAACGTTTCCTTCTTTTTATGCTTATACTGTCTAGTTAAGACTTGGTTGGCATAAGCGTAAGGATAAACATAAGCGAAAGTCTTTCAGGCAATCAGCAAGCACTATACTGCTTATACCAACCATGTCCCTATTTAACGTAACATCGACTGAGCGCTTGTGCTCATGTTTATG